GACTAGGCCTACCACTCTCACTTATGGTTACTTCTGCTGAACGGTCAACCAGACAACTTATGTTTTATTTCCACCATGTCTTGTCCTCTCCTTGAAAAGTGAAGCAAGGGAATGAGGAGCAGCAGCCTTTGTGTGTGCATGCAGCCTCAGTTTTAGTCCAGAAGAGTAGAAGTTACTTAATATATTCATGTTTATGTGCTGTCAGAAAAAACACTTCAATATTACTGGGAAAATTATATTAGCATTTACTTTTTTGTACAGTAATATTGATATATAATATAATGTGTTTTGTTTAGTTGATTCTAGTAGTTTAGAGATTTTGATATTTTTTGTAAAATTTAAAAGAATAATTAAATAAATGTCACTACACCCAAAAATCAATTTTTCAGTGTAGCTAAAAACACAGAAAACAGCTGAAAATTAGTAAAACAGTTAAAAGAAGCAAAAGCTTAAAACAGCCGAAAGAAGCAGAAAAACACGTAATGTTGAAATTAGCGAAACAATGGCAAAAAAGGTTAGAATAATGGCTAAAAAATCAGGAAACAAGCTAAAATCAGCAAAGGAGAAGCTTACATTAGAACAAAGAAGTTCAGGGTTTCCATGAGGTTGTAAAAACTATGAAAAGGTAGTAAATCAAATAAGCAAAAATTGAAGCCATTAAAAAGTATTAAAAGGTAATAAACACCATCTGACGAGGTCTTAATTTTTAAACAACTAGAGCACTTTCACCATGCTGGAATCTGATGCTCTGCTTTGAAAACAGATGTAACAAACATTTCTCTGACCCTATCTGAGATGCAGCTTTAACTTTAGACAGGCCTATTAGCCAATCAGAAATAGTGCGGGGGCGGGACTTAGTGTCTCTAGTAGCAGAAGTTGGAGCGGTGTTTTAAATAAAATATATTTTACAGGATGAGTCTGAAAAAGAACAGGAGACGATATCAAAGCTGGATGATTGTTAAAAGTCAGAAAAGATAAACCTACTGAAGGATTACTGACTCCTCCCCCTGAGAGGAGGGGTGTCGGTGGATGCTAGCTTTAGCTAAAGTTAGCTGGAGCAGACAGGTGCAGCAGGTGAGGAGATTAAAGGGATGACTTTTATAAGAATGACCCAGGAGATAACATCAGTCAACAGTGTGTGTTTACTGGTACAAACTGAGACACATTAACACTAAAACAGTAATATTAGTTGAACAAAACAAGTAAATTAAAGCTGTTCCTCAGATTTTTTTTTCATTGTTTTCCCACAAAACTCTCCGGGAGGGCATTCTCTATGAAGATGTCAGTTTTATGTTTTTGTAGTAGGGTTGGGCATAATCGTATCATGTGCAATTAACCGTCAGAAAAACATTAATCGATTATTTTTTGGCACTTGACGATTAATACGATTAATGCCACCAGGATATTTCCCTGGTTGGTTCGCTCAGTGCTCCTGTCCGCTTCAAATATGACAGCATTTAAAAAACAGTTCTGTAATTTATTCATCAACACAATTTAAAATTTGATGTAAAGCCTGAAGTCTGTAATTTTGACAATTTGGAACAGATTTTTATAAAGTGCAAATATTTCCCACTAAACTGGTCATGTGACCAGGACATAAGGGTGTCCAGGCACTCCAGGGGATTAATCATCAAATTAATCGTTAATGGCTAAACACCACAATTAATCGTGATTAATTTTTTTGCCAATATTGCCCAACCCTAGTTTGTGGATAAATATGAGCTAATTTAAATCCTACACTGTATTAAAGGGTTTTGTGAATTTGTGCTGAATTGTTTATTTGGGATCAGACTTTATGTAACTTAATGCATGATCACATGAAACATAATTTACAGTTCTCACATAGATTCTGTTAATTTAGTTTGTTTAGTAAAGTTTTATTATTTTCAATCATAGTTTTTAATTGAAAGTATTTTTAGCTACAAGAAAGTTTATACATTGGGATTTTTTTTCCCAGTTTTGATAAATTTAAAAGGTGATATTTGAAAGCTATTACAGGTAACTCTCTGCTCAGTATGAAAATTGAAAACTGATTTTTTTAAGAAGTTGATTGATGAATCCTTTTGTTCTTTAGCTGGTAATGTCAATGTATATGCAGATAAAAGCTGGTGATTGTGAGGGTAAAACTGTAGTGGTGGTGAGGTTCATTTTCAGGTTCAACAGAAGTTTTAGTACATGTTTAAAATCAGATGGACACACACAGATGTGATTTAGAGGATGGTTGTGTGACATCAGGGTGTTTTGTTTCTGAGTTTCTGGGACATGTGAGAGCAGATGACCTGTTGCTGATAGCTCTGCTCCTCCTACACATAAGGAAAACACTTGACTTGAATTTAAAGTTAAATAACAAATAATTGTAAATAGATCAGTGTTTCATTAAGGCAAAGAGATAACTATGTATCCAGTAACTTTAATAACAGGTTGAAGCGGTTGCTGCTACTGTTTCAACTTGAAGTCGTGTTGGTATTAAAAAACATTGGGATGGTATTAAAAAGGTATTAAAAGGTATTAAATTTAACTTAGACCAACACAAACTCAGAGATCAGTTGAGGAGAGTTTGTGTGTGGTGTTTATACTGGTTGTAAGATTTATATGAACGAGCTGCCAAATCCTTTGTGTCACAGAACGCTGTGGGAAAATACTTAAAAAGTACATGTCCCAGTAAAATAAACTGTTTTATTTGTTTGTTTCTCTCTCCTCTTCTGAAGCACCTGTCAGGTGGAGTTGCTGGGTTTTGTAAACATGTTTGTTCTGTTCCATTTGGGTTATACATTATTTGGTTTGATTGATAAATGCATGTTTTTTTACCAGATTTCTAGTAAAACCACATTTTTTTTGTGTATTTTTTCCAGCAGCCTGAGGCTAAATCAGAGGCAGATGCAGAGAGGAGCCAAGGCCGCTACAACCTGCGCCGCAGGAAGGACGACGCAGACACTAAAGCAGCTGAAGCTAGATCAGAAGAGCAGAAGGAAAAAGAGGCGAAGGGCCTTGCAGCTGCTGCCCCCTCCTCCTCCTCCTCCTCCACCTCCCACCTGGATTTTGGAGGGAAGATCGGTGAGTTCCTTTCTTTCTTAAAAACGTCCACTAGATGTCAGACACACAATTTGTTGATTCTAAAGCAGCATGTGTTTATATTTACATATGTAATAATTGAGTAATAACACCAGAAAGGGAACAGGTCTGATCAGGGAGCTGCAGGAACAGGACTGAAAACAAGTTTAGAGAGAGTTTCTCTGAAACAATGTTCTCACATCTTTGCTGATGAAGACGATGCACATCATACAGTAATTCTATAATAGTACTGTTATTTAGTGAAACGTTTGTGTTTTCCTACACCTAATATATTCAGTATGTGTCTGTTTAAGGCTCAGGTCTGATTAATAAATGAATGCATGAATAACAGTTGGTCAGAAAGCTTAGATATGTAGACAAACATCCAGGAAGCACAAATTATTATGCAATGCTTACTTTTCACCACTGTTTGTAATTTAAGTTATCAGTTTTTGCAAAGCGGAACATTTGCTATTTGTTCAGCTTTATTTTGAGCTATATTTTATAAATATGGAGCTAGAGATAACAACTTTGAGTTTTTCTAAAGGACAAACCTACGGTAGTCACTGACATGCATTGCTTTTGTTAACACTACTCAATGCATAACAATGGCCCTACATGTACCTGTCATAAACTTATAAAGGCTCATTTCTGTAGCTGGTTGGAGACAAATCTGTACATTCAGAGATGTAAAATATGAAAAGAGGTGAACTGGTGTTACTGTTTGTTTACATAAAACAGACAGAAATCCTTTCAGTATGAAAGAAGTTGTTTAGATGTCTGAGTAGGCTGAACTGATCTTGAACATGAGAAGTACCAACATTTTCCCAGGTCTCAGTTAAAGAATAATCTGTGAAGTTAGTTGAATTAGAGCCTCTGGTCAACATGTATTTGTGTCTGGCATGATGTTTGATCTGTTCCTGGTCATTCTTCTTCTTCACAGGAGCAATCTTCTGGCTGCTCTTCCTGCCAGCCTGGGTTCTGTTTCTGATCCTCCAAGTCAACCAGGAGGATCCAAGTCTGACAAACTTTCCTCGTGCTCTGCCTTCGCTCCAAACCTTCTGGGATTTCCAAGCATTTGGCTTCGTCCTCCTCTGGATCCTTTTCCAGGCTCTGCTTTACATTTTACCTGTTGGACAGGTGAGTGAGAGCAAATCTGTTGTGTTCTAAAACCACAGGACAGCCTGATGTGTGTGTAGTTACACAGTATTTATAGCCTGATGTGTGTGTAGTTACACAGTATTTATAGCCTGATGTGTGTGTAGTTACACAGTATTTATAGCCTGATGTGTGTGTAGTTACACAGTATTTATAGCTTGATGTGTGTGT